CAGCATTTGAAATGGAATAAACACAGTGTATAGTTCCAAACACCCCTACTCATACTCGTTTCCAACAAATAGCATGATTAGATTAGCTACCCCCTGTCTGCTTACCTTAAAAGCTGAAATAAACATGCCCAAGTAACAGACATTACAAGTTAGTATTTTCCCCAATATCTGTCTGGCAGCTCCCAAAAGTAGAAGTAGAAAAGTGCAGAACCTACAAATGATCTATGCCTGATACAAGCAAAATCCTAATTAAATAAGGTTTTAAATTCTATGAAAACCTGAATGTCATACATGGTTTAGCTAAGCTTCCAAATAGAAGTGCTTGGGTATCATGGGAGTCCAGTTCATGAGGCAGAAAAGACAGCCATCATTATGAACACCTCAACTCCACCAGACATCTGTACATATCCTTTGGGTTAACAAGAAGCCATCTACAAATATACATCATTTTGACCTGCTCCCAGAAGCAAGTGCAGTGGTATTTGCATGGGTAAATACATAAAAGATAAAAGGAGTATACAAAAAAGAAAATCACAGAAGCTGGAAGCAAGTTGTGAAAAGGGACAGTAGATTTACACGGGTCAAAGAATATTCAGAGTTACCACAATGAATATGTATGTTTTTAGAAATTTTCAAATGCGTTACAATACGTGATGATTCATGAACTGGATGAAGTTCAAGCTAGTGGGGGCTTGGCAGAACATCCTTATGGGCAGGTCATCCCCGATGCCCCAGAGAAGGTCAGGTTTGGTGAACAGCCAACTTGTGATACAGACCATTTCTGCTGATAAGGACCTGGAATATGTGGATCCTGATCCAGTTCCTTTTGGTAAGTCTTATACATCCTTAGAAAAGAAAGTATCAGACCTCAACACTAACAACTGCTAGAGCTAGTAATGTGCCTTCTGACAGTCTAAGAGCAGCTTAACTTTGCATGGGAATAAATTCAAAGGAAAGAAAAAGCCTGATACCAAGACAAGCTTGTAAAGCACATTTTATGAAAAGAATCTGGGAGCCATTTGGAAGAGTGTGAGTGTTGGGAATCTCAAATATAAATTTGAACAGGGATGCATAAATAGTCAGATGGTCAAGGGGGCAAGTGAAATACAGTTTATAAATAGCTTAGCATGATACTCCATGACTATCCCTACCGTATACACGTTAGCATGATGCTAACCATATATTCAACATTACTGGTGCTGCCGATCGTGATCCTTTTGCTTTGATGTTTGCATTCTGTAGAGGCAAACCGAGTGTACTTTGGGACTTGCATTCACTTCTTACATATACAAGGTTGATAATGAGCCAAGACTTTTTAGAATATTCTTGCAGAAGAAATAAGGAAATATAATAAGACAAAATAAGAAAGTGAAGTTGTACATAATTGAGAAAGGTCACCAACTGCCTCAGAACATCTGTGTGGGTATCCTCACAAAACTGCCAGATTCCTTTAGGTCATTTATTGTTCAGGATATATAGATCCACAGGTTTAGACCCTGGGAACTGCTCAGGCCTTTCCTGTATCTGTTCAGCTTTCGAATAGTGCCACACTGATCTGCAGTTTACATTTGTAGGAAGCGTGTTATGCTGGGCTAGGATGAAGTGCTTCATGCACCATGACACCTGTCCCTGGATCTTTGGATCAGACGTTTCTCACAGCCTATACTGATACAGAAGCAGTAAACTTCTACCACAATTTTACATGAAGAAAGCCAAGCATATATTAGAATGTATTTTGTTTTCTTAGAGCTGTTCACTGGCTGACAGTGATTGGGGTCTATTCTACAAAGCTTTCTCTAGACAACCCAATGACTCCTGTCTGGCTATTGCCTCTGATTTTTTGATCCTTTTTGTATGGAGTCTAATCTTGTATTATTGCAATTAATGGAGATGATGCCCGGTCTCTGAAAAACCCGCTTTCTGTGTGAGGAGTGTTAATGGGACTGAGCTGTTTGTCTGCCCTCAGAATGATGCTTTCTGTCATGTTTCTGACCTAATTTTCCTCAAAACAGATGAAATATTACATCATTTGTACTTTTTAAGAGTAGCGCTGTGTCAGATTATACCTTTTGGTCTTGCATTGTTCTTCTTCTGCAACCTATCATGTGCGCCTGTGTTCATAAATAATATATCCACTTATGAATATAGCTAAAATTTTTGTGTGTGCATGGATTTAAAGCAAACACATAGACATCTAAAATACAAATTAATTTGATCCCCACTGTACTTGTAACACAGCCAAATTCTTAATATATTATAGTGCATATTACATTAAATAAATAATAACTAAATTGATCTATGCTACAATATGTGTATACATACACATTTTATGATGCCTGTAAATAACATTTTAAAGCCTGTTCACACATCAAAAGACAGGTTGTTTATTTCTCTGTTAAAACAATCCAAGGGTTTAACTCTTCCTATTATGTAAACAGTGGTGACAGCTGCTTTCAAGGAAGGTTACCTTCATTAAAAAGAATAGTTTCCCATCGTAAAATCAATACTAATATACCATAAAACCCCCTGATGAACTCTGGCTTCCTTACGTGCTCTCAGAATTTGTGTGTTAGGGGCAAAGCACTACTCTAGATATCAGAAGATAATAATATGGCAATATATATAGATATAGATATATATTTAAATGTTAAAACGTTAGTTAGGTCAACTTGAGTAATGAATATACTTCAAATATATGCTTCTTTCTATAAATAAAGCTCATTAATTTGCTTTGCAACATGGGTGCCTTATAAGTCTTTGGTTGTATGTGGCTACCAAACTGGTAAATGGGTTCTGGATATATTTAGCTCAAAATGCACTTGGACATATAGATGAAGCTTTAACTTTTTTGTGTGTTTTATGCTAAACTTGTACTTGCAGTAGACTTGCAATATCATTTACAAGCTTACCTTTAGGTAGACATTTTAAACAACTCATACAAAATAAAGATTTGTATGTCAAGAGTATTTGTTTTAGTGACAAGAAAGCTAGGTATACTCTATTCATTTCTCAAGCAGACCTTTATGAATCACTTTAAAAGGACGCTACAGCTGAAGACTGAAGAGCAATAATTATCAACATTAAATAAAACATTTGGTGAAGTATGTATAAATATTTCTTCATATGAACATAACACAAAATTAAATAGTTCAGATACACAGACACCATTTAATATATTTCCACTGTTGTCAAAATCATCTGTAAACACCATCTCACACTGAATACAAAAGCAGCTTTTACATCAGTTCTGTGTTCACAACACTGATGCCCCTTTGTAAAAGAAGATATTTATTTTGTTTTATTTTCAGCAAAATAAGAGTCTAAGCAATTAAAAAAAAAGTTTCAGTCAGTTCAAAGGAGAATACAAAATTATCTTTCAACATGTAACTAAATCAGATTTAGAACAATAGTGTAAAGTACAATCCTTTCCCCAGGGGATCTGTGACTTTTATAAATCATGTTTGGTGCAGACCACATCACAAATACCAGGAAATACTGGTCATGTCTAAGCTATAAATATTAAAGCCCTTTTAAAATTTTCGTTATAAAAAATTGCCAGGTTACTAATGGCAATAGCCACGTTTTTCGCAACACCGAATAACCTGACATTAAACAGACGTAGGTGCACTTTTCTTAATGATTTTTAAAAGAGATTCTGGAAAAGAAACACTTTTCAGTGAGCATCCTTCATGTGCAAAAATAAAGCATTTCTTCTACGCAAATCTTTTGCATTTGAAGATCACCTGTGCAGAAAGTGCAAGCGGGGGGTTCCACCAAGTTAAGACAGAAAATTACAACTCGACCTTTCATTGGAAGCCTTACGGATACTGTGCATTGGATCTGAGCTAGCTCTGAGAATGGTGGTGCATCCACATGGTGCAACTCAGGACAAGGCATCGCAGTGTCCGTGTGTGCCCCAAGAGCAGCGTAGCTGCCCGAGCACGAAACGGGGCTCCTGCTAATGGCTGCACCTACCTGGTTCCTGAGCAACTCCCTCTGAGCCTCAGCACTCTGCGGCCCATATGTGGACTCTCGCCATCCTACACCCTACAAAGATAACGTCATACTCTGCCCTGAATGTAGCCTTCAATTCCTTTCACCTTCGTCTCTTTTAAAGAGGCGTGATAACTTTGGGAAGAGAGACTGTGCTCAAGATTAAGGTTTTATTGGGCATGTGCCCCATTATAAAACTCTGTAGACTACTAGGCTCACAGGCTACGCTTTGGTTCTCTCCATTTGAAATGTGGACACCATATTTTGGTTTCAAAGATAAACTTGAATTTCAGGTGGCAAATAATGAGATACATATTTATAATATGATTTTCTGATTTTTTTTTTTTTTAAATTTCACTCATATAATTGTGATGGGGGACCCTGTAAAACCTAGAAGAATAGATCACCTCTTTCCTGGTATGTGTGTATTTTAGAGGTGTGAATGTATGTTATGCATACATACACACTCACACACACATATACATAACATGAGCTGCACACATAGAAACTCGGCAATCAGGAATCAAGGGGTACAATTAGCAATACACCGGAAGAGAATTAGACAGGAAGCTCTACCTGGACAAGAAGAAGCAATTTTGCAACCTATACAGTGTCTCAAATAATTTCATAATCCCGTTTCGCTAGCTTGCTACATCTGTATGTGACTTGAATTGAAAGTTGTTGGATTCCTTGGAAACAGAAGAGTTGGGCTAGCTAGATGTGCTTACCTGAGATCCCAGAGTGTATTATAATCAAAGAGCTGGGCAGATCAGTAATGGGTTTATAATTGCTATACAGCTTCTTGCAAATTTGTAGGAAAACTTTATTAAGTCTTTCATTCCTTAGTAAAAATGTTAAAGTTTGTTAGTTTTTGCTGAATGCAGACTTGATTTTTATATTAAACTGGATTTATTAAAAGGATACATAAGCCTGGCAGCTGCTTTCACGTCTTGATATTTAAATGTTTGAATCAGCACCCTGGAACCACCCTTGCACCCCAACCCATCCCGTCCCATCCTGTCCCATCCCCTCCTATCCCGTCCCATCCCGTCTCATCCCATCCTGTCCCATCCCGTCCTGTCCCATCCCATTCCCCCTTTGTTATTTTTTTTAACTGTTTAAAAAATACTATTCTATGAAGCCTCCCTAGGGATCCGCTTATGAAAAATGACGGACTGCCTTTGCTGATACTGCTGTTTGCGTCGTTTTCGTTTGTCACACTGGCACAGCAGTAGCATCTTGAAAGTGTTTCTGAATGTTTTGTTACACAGTGCATAGCACACGGGGTTCACTGTGCTATTGATGTAGCAAAGCCAGTACCCCAGGTTCCAGAAAGTTTTGGGGATACAGTTGCAAAAGGTGTTCACCAGAACCATGATGTTATATGGGGTCCAGGTAATGATGAAGGCAAACAAAATGGCACTGAGTGTCTGTGCTGCTTTCTTTTCTTTGATAAGTGACATTCGTTTTCGCTTTGTGATCTGACTTCTGGTCTTCAAGGCAAACTTTTTTGCCAGAGTTGCTTCCTTGAAGGACAAGGGCAGGGCTGCAGATGTCTTGGTCACTGATGAGATGCCATCAGAAGCTGTGGTTGTCTCTGCTGACCCTGGTTGAACCGGAAGCTTAGAAAAGCTCTTTTGGAAATTTCCACCATCCTGAACACTTCTGGGAGGCTGCAATTTTTTAGGTTTCTTTTCCTTCGATTCTGCGTCGGATTTCTGCAGTTCATCCCCTGACTCATGCAAATCTTCCGAGGAGGGTAGTTTCGTGGAATTGAGGATGGCGCTGTGACCAGGAAGCTTCAGTACGATTGAATAGATGGCTCTGGTCTCTGCTGCGATGTCTTCTTCGTCAGAGGAGGCTGAATTTTCAAGGGAGGCAGCAGCGTCGTTGTTGTTCCAGCTGTCGCTGCTGCTGTGCTCTTGGTCCCCCTGGTCTGTATTGGGTTCCCAGCTCTTCATTGTGAGCCAGAAGTGGCAGCGTCTGTATTTCCTTCGGGTAGAGCGTTTCATGCTCTGCTGTTGCAGCTCGTAGCTGCTGCAGCTCCGGGAGCTGCCTGTCTGGTGTACGAAGCGGGCTGCCTCTGCTTCACTGCCTGAAGCCTGCAGCCCTGCTAACTCTTTGGTGCGTTTCTCGGTCTCCTTGTAGATCCTCCAATACAAAATACTCATAATGGTGACTGGCAAGTAAAAGGCAGCTATGGCAGTGCCAAAAGTGATGATAGGTTCACTTAGAAACTGGATGAAACATTCATCAGGAGGTACAGTCCTCTTCCCAACAAAATACTGCCAGAACAAGATGGCAGGGGCCCAAAGAACAAAAGAGATGATCCATGCTAAACCAATCATCACCCCAGCCCTTTTGGTTGTTCGTTTGGCTCTGTACGTAAGCGGCCTAGTGATGGAAAAATACCTGTCAAAACTTATGACAAGGAGATTCATGACAGAGGCATTACTGGCGACATAGTCAATGGAGAGCCAAAGATCACAGGCCAAGCTTCCCAAAGCCCAGTGGTCCATGATGATGTATGTGGTGTAAAGATTCATGGAAATAACACCAATGATCAAATCTGCACAAGCAAGACTCAACAAGAAGTAGTTGTTGACCGTTTTCAGTTGTTTGTTAACCTTAAATGCAACAATCACGAGGATGTTTCCTATGATGGTCACCAGTGCAAGGATCCCAGTGAGGAAAGCAATCAAAACTACTTGCCAGATAGCGTGTCCACCCAGAGGGTCTTTGCTTGTGGCATTTAAGGACATGTTTGTTGATTCCACAGTGGAGAAGGGAAAACTCACTGTGGTCTGAGGGAAATCATAGCTGCCAATGAGCGATTCTGCTTCATCAAGAAGTCCCAGTCCATGTGAATCTCTCTTCCAGAAGGAGCTCACATTTGAAAACAGGGGCGAGGCCGAACTGTTATTTTGCATGATCATTGTGGCTCTCTGACATAGTCTGCAGGAGGGAAAAACCAAAAAACAAGTGAACAGGTGAAGACGGTAAATAGATAATCATCCGCATACTCATACATAAAATCCCTTCAGCACTTTGAAAGATGTCTTTAAAAGCCAAGCTGCCTGTGACACATTCCAAGTCAGATGTGTACGTGGTAACACATCTTAGTGCTCAGCTTACAGCTGTGAATTTGAGCTCTTTTGTAGTAATCATATACTGTTTTCTTAAAAACATTCAGTCACAGAAGAACCAAAATCCCAGGAGAATATGGACCCGCAGTAGTATTAAAATGCCCCCTAACTCCAGCTCTTAATTAAAACACTCCCTGATGGATCTACCCTCTCTCTCAACTCTACATCTCAACAGCCCACTCTCCTGGAGCCTTCAAAAACTAAATGCCAGACACATGCAGCCACAAATACTCCAAGTTTGAATCAATGCTGGTCCCCAGTCCTATCCTGGCACTAGCAAAACACAGCCCCAGGCTCTGCTGCCTCCAGTTACAGCTAATGACAAACAAAAATATTGTTCTATCTTTTCTTGAACTATAGAGATACAAGCCAGTGTCATTTCACTGTGTCAATCTACTCTAATCTGTGAGGCTGCAGAGATCATTTCATTTTCATCTACATTTTGGCTACCTGATAAAGGTACTAAAAGTTCTCATTAGCACTTTTTCACATGCCACTGTTCGGTTTTCATGCACATTTTTATACTTGGACTAAGGATTTTGTACATCTAATGACTTCAAAATGTCTTTGGGGCAACACATGTTAAAATTTCCTTTAAAAATATGGTCTCTAGAGTCAGGAAGAAATGTTTGGCAGATGTATGTCATAATAATGAGTATCACGATGCACTGGTGTTACACAAAATATTTACCCAAAAGGGGAGGTTTTGGGTTTGGTTCTTCAATTATTTTCTACATTCTGTTTTACCTTAACTGTACTTGGTTTTGTTAGCAAGCCATAAGACACTATGTGATTTTAAAAGGTGCAGCTTCTTTGACATATGCAGTAAACAGACCACAATTTCTTCCCTTAACCCACACACAATAACTAACACAACACCCCTCATATTTTGATATGTAGTGTAAATGAGATATTAATTTTTCTCTTTATTAATAGGAAGACAAGTTTACAATGATGCTGTCTTATCTTAATGTAATTCAACCCACTTTTAATGCATTCATCATCATATCAGGCAAATGTGAACATAATAATAACAATAATAACAACAGTAAATATTGCTCTGGGAAATCACACAGTTAAATTTAACTCTTTTCCTGATAGAAAGATTGAAAATGTCAACCAACTTAAACAATTTCTAAAAAGAAAAATGGTAAGAATTTTATAAACTGTAAAACAACATCATAGAATCATAGAATCATAGAATCGTTTAGGTTGGAAAAGACCTTTAAGATCATCCAGTCCAACCATTAACCCACACTACCAAGTCTACTCTAAGCCAATCAAGGGTAGACTAGACTAAACCATGTCCCCAAGTGCCACATCTACCTGTTTTTTGAACACCTCCAGGGATGGTGACTCCACCACCTCTCTGGGCAACCTGTTCCAATTCTTGACCACCCTTTCCATAAAGAAATTTTTCCTAATTTCCAACCTAAACCTCCCCTGGCGCAGCTTAAGCCCATAACATTGATAACTTTGATTTTCTTAAAATCAAAGTAGGTTGAAACTAAAATTGACTTCTATCAAAAAACTGACATTCCAAGTTTTCTTTTCTTTGCAAAGTTCACAGGAAAGAAATGTGCAGTTTTGCATGAAATTTCAGGCAAAAAGACATTCTGAAAATTTGTCAAGCTGCTCCTCTAAAATGCTCAATGTATTTTACCATTTTAATTGTTCCTTTCCCAAGAAGATCTAAACAAAATTTTCTGAAAAAAATCCACCATGTTTTTGCCATCTATTAGAGAAGCTGTGGGACACAAGATATTTCTTTTTTTTCTTCCTCAAGATATACTACTTCTGACTATGGGGGTGGTGTAGTTCAGGCCACCAAGCATACAGCAACATCTCCTCACCAATCCCTATCATCTGTTTCAAAGAAGCTGCAGAAGTCAAATCTGCACTGAGAGAGAGATAGATTCATCCCATCTACACTAATGAAATGAAAGTCTGCAGAAAGCCATTTGCAAAAAGGCAAGCAGAGGTCTGGATGAGAAGCATGTTCTTGCTTTCATTCACACCCCATCAGGCACACTCATACCAGCTCACTTCTTTGCCTTGACCAAAGACAATATTCATTTACATGCCTATAAAAATGGAGATCCCACTTACTCAAAAATTACAAATGAAAGCCCATGGAAGCCCAATGTACAAGAATGTTCACGTTTAAAAAAGACAGTGAAGCAGTATTCAAGTTTGGCTTGCCCCTTCCAATGCCTGGGTGAAACAAAACCACAGTTCACTTGTGAGCAACCACTTAAGCAAGTGTTGACAATGTTCTTGCCAGTTTTTATGGGCCAGGATGGTTAGTTACGGTGGGGAAAAAAGTCTTTGACTTAAACAGGATTGCTGGAAACCATCGTTCTTGTAATGTTTTACTTAGGAAGCAGGCAGCTTTTCCAGAACTGTCAGATAGGATGAGGTCAAAACCAGAATAGTATCAGAGAGATCTGAAATAATGATATTTACTAAATATATGCCAGAAATGATTAATGTTATAGGGTGCAGACCTTTCTTCGCTGACATTAGGGACAGAGAGCAGAGGATGAAAGCCAGAAAGCATGCCCTTCGTAGACATACACTTGTAAAATTTCTACAAGGTAACAGCCAACATAGTCAAGTGTATTGATTGTGAAGTCTGACAGGTAAGTTTAGATGGCAATGATATCATTATGCTGTTTTTTCATAAAAAAAGACAAGCTGGTATCTTCTAATACACAAGAAAGGACCAGGCAGAAGATACTGATAAAGGAAATGAAACTTTCACTACGGGGCATAGAACAAAAACCGGTATCACTTAGAAGTGATGGTAGAAATAACACTATTACTAAGAAATAAAAATAGTTGACAGTTTGGTAGTACTTCCCATTTTCATTGCATAACACAACCGTAAACTAACCTAAGTATTAGCCTTGGAAGTCCAAAACAACTACCACATAAAAGATACAAATAATCTTGCAAAATTAATGTGTAAACGCTGCACTATCACTAAGTCCATAAAATGATTGTGAATCCTGTTTAATTGTACACTTTGAAATGGAGTTGCAATGTAAATTAACCAATAAATCCTTTCAGAAACGCCGTATTTCAAAAGACTTAGCACGAGGAAGCCTGGGAAAACTGTATTTCAGCTGCAGTCTTTCAGAAGCTGAACAAGCGCTGGAACTAAACCTTTATTTCTCAGGTCAGTTCTCCCATCCACTGGACTTCAAAGTAACTTCTCTAAGCCACTGTTTCAATGAAAACCTGCACAGTCCTCAGCAGTCCAGTGACTGAGGAAGAGGAGAGTGAGAGCAACCCACCGACAGCTCCCTGCTGCCCAATGCAATCCTGCAAGCTGGAACTCGGCTTTTTAAACCCCTCAGGTATTAAGGGGACCCCTAAACTTGTTTTGACTGGATTATTTGATAAATTGGAAGTGCTGGCAGGATGATGAGTACGGTCTTTTGTTATTCTGGCTCTTCTACAAGCTCCTGTAATTGAACTGTTTAATTTAATACAAAAATGTATTACCCATATGTTCATCTGCATGGAAAACACACCATCACTACCACCACCACCATAACATGCCAGATCAGCGCAACTGGATATTCTTCCCTTTAGGAAGCCAAAGCAAGCTAAGTTATCCATCATTTTCCAAAACTGCCATGCATTTTCTGCTTTCTCTAGAAGAAGTGTGACAG